CCCTCTCTCCAACAGGCCCTGGACAGGAGCGTTTCCAGTGCAGCAGGTGACTGCCTTTTTGTAACCCTCCAGGGATGCCAGTCTGAGAAGTCAGGCAGAGGAAGAGCATCCTTGGGGGTCCTGGATCAAGCCATACCTGAACCTTCATAGATTTAGTACATCTTCCCTCATCTTAAGGCAGGGTGGATTACATTGTCCTGTCACTTTGTCCAGCCAAAATGTCTTCACTGATAAACTTAAATTTCTGAGTAATACTCTTGTAAAACTAACTAGGCTTTTAAAGTCAAGGATGCCAGGGTTAACACAGACTCGGAGCAGAAGGGCTGGATAAGGTTTTAGGACCATCTTCTTGGACTTTAAGACATGTGCTTTCTAGCTGTGTGACCTCAGACAAGTCTCTAAACCTCTCTGAAATGCCGTATCTTCACATTTCTGCAATCTATGTCAGCGTGCAGTAAGGTGATGTACCTAAAGCACAAGGCACACAGTAGGTGCTCAATAAACGTACCCCAACAATACGGTTCACCTAACAAAGCTGACAGAACAGGACATGTTAGTTGCCAGGGCTTCCCTCCTGGTGGAGCCTGATCCCAGTCTATTGCTTTCATCCAAGGAAGAAAATGAACAATACTTTGAAGCCAAAGGAACCTGGATTTCAATCATACTTTTGCTCTGTGACATTAACAAATTGGTCAACCTCTCTGAGCCTTTTTCTTCTATCAGTTTAATGGGAAAGGCATTGAGTACCTCTTGATAAGACACAAGAATGAGCATATGCACTGTCCCCAGCACAGTGCTCTGAAGGCTAGGTAATTACCAGCCTCTTCAAGGATCTTCCAGATCTTCTCAAGGAATATTCCAAAAGACTGGGCTGGAGCTCCCCCATGACTCCATGTCTCCAACTTCTAGTTCTCCGTGATTACATCAAAGCTCTGTGTCCAGCCTTGACCTTTCTCCAGAGGTCCTGTTCCGAAAGACTGGGCTGGAGCTCGCCCATGACTCCATGTCTCCAACTTCTAGTTCTCCCTGATTACATCAAAGCTCTGTGTCCAGCCTTGACCTTTCTCCAGAGGTCCTGAGAGCCTTCCAGGTGTCCCTAAGTCAGCACAAAGTCTTGCCATGTTCTCTTGGTTGGGATTGGATCTGCCACCCTGACCTCCCTCTCTTGGACGTAGCATCTGATCACGATGGAAATTACAATCAAGAGCCTGGAATTCTCAGTCCCCGTGTCATCTCCCTGGACCCTGGAGCCATCTCCTTCTGAATGCAGAATCTTCTTAAGACAGTGCTGCCTTGCTCCGTAAACCAGGCTTGGAAAATCCGGTTGCTTTGTGAGATGTTGATCTTGATTGTCAGCCTGACCAAGTTTAGAGCCCCCTAGGATTTAAAAAAGCCCACATTCAGAGAGTAACTCACAAGGCTCTGGCCTGATCCCTGCCTTAATCCAAGGACCCAGAGTAGAACTGCACTGTGGGGAGGTGACAGACTGTGGAAGGAAGTGCCACACTAGAGACTAGCCTTTCAAGGGCACCTTACACGGGACCTCTCCCTTTACTCCTTGATGCCGCTCGGCCTCAGTGGGATGAGACATGCTGGTCTACCAAGTTCTACCTGCTACAGAACAATGGAGTGACTGACTAACTGGGACTGATGTCTCTGAAACTGGGAGTCAAAATAAGTACTCCTCTTATAGATGGTTTTCCCTGGTGTCTGTCAGGGGCAAAAGGTGAACGCACCAGGATGTGTCCATCTGGGGCACTAGGGATGCTTTTGTTTTTGTTTTCCTCACTGCCCACTCAGGCTCAAGTTGGGCTTCCCCACTGCAGTCCACCCTCCACTCACGGCCAATGGTGGTGAGGGAGGAGTGGCATTTCTCTGTCACTTGTCTTCCATGGAATGCTGGAACTCTGAGGCCACTGCCAAGAATGGGACTTCATGACTGACCATGTCAGTCAGTGCCTGGAGGTTTGCTTTCAGGGTAGGTGGGGGTGGGGGGAGGAGAGGAGTGTTTCATGGTGTTAATATTAGACATTCAATAAATTCTTGTTGTACTCATCTATCCAGTCACATGTCTCCAAACTCAAGCCTTGGACAGTATCTGCAACCCAAGACACTAGATCAGAGACCCTTTGAAAACCAGGAAAGTGATGGGCCTTTCTCCCTCAGTGTGCCCTTGCCAGTGACATTGGACGTATGTTGTCAGGGCTTCCTAGCTCCCTCAAGCTCAAGCATAGATGTGAGTCTCAGATGGGAAACTGAGGCACAGAGGAAGAGGCTTGTCCAACAGGAGCAATATATCTCTTTCGGCAAGACATTGGCCCACTACATGGAAGTACCAGCTCTGGTTCTGGCTGCGGGCCCTTAGCACCTCACATCTCTGCCACAGCTATCATCCCATGCTTCAGGGTGTAGAAAGGACATAGTGTGTGCAAGCAACCCTTGTTTCCTTCTTTCCCTCTTCTTTCCTTGGAGGTTGGAACATAGTGTGGCTATGATCCACACATGATCACTGAGGTGATCATGGAAGGCTTCGTGCAAGAGGTGTGCCCTTTGGACCTCAGTGCTGGGTGCTGTATGTAGGTAGGGGCCAAGGGTTATTAATAGGCCTGGCTCAATAGGGCTGGATGGGGGTGAATGTGATACAGACACCCAGCACCTTGGCTGGGGAGGACCTGACACTGGAAGGGGAGGGGGCCAGGGCTGGGGGAGTGCCACCTCCCAAAATAGCCAGGACTGAAGACTACTTAAATGGCTGTCCCACCAGCAGTCTCATTTTCCCAACAGGATACCCCACCAGCCTAGTTTTTCTGTACAGGCTCCGGCCTCTGCCCATCCAAGGTAAGTGATAGCCTCTAAGGTTGGAGGATGGAGAAAGCCAAATCAGGCTAATGGAAGGGATGGTCACCTTGCCATTTCTCTAGATTCAAAGCGGTTATTGCTGAGGGTGGGACTCCTGGATTCTCTACCTGCCTTTTGGGTGGCCTGGGCAAATGCTTCTCCCAAGGCTGGACCTCAGCTTTCCATCTGCCACACCTAAAAGGTACAGCCATACGTCTGTGTAGTCTAGTGGCTCCATCAAAGAGGTCAAAGGACAGAGGGGTGGGAGGTAAGCACATGAGTGGGAAGTTGACTGGCTGAGCTGACAATACCCGTGCTTCACTAAGGAGGTCTCGGGCCCAGAAAGAGTGGTCTATCTGCTGAGGACTCAGCAACAGCAGAGGAGGGAGAAGGGGTAGTGCTGTGAGATTTTAGTAGGAGCCAGCATGGGGCTCAGATGCACTGGGTTTGGTAGGACTGAGCCTGGGGCATGAGGAAGGATATCTAAGAGGTTAATAGCACACCAAGTCAATGGGCCAGAGCTGACCTTGCTCTGCCACTGCCTTCATAGGGGTCTCTAGGCACTTAGAGACTCCAGGTTCAGTATAGCACAAGGGTCTCCAGCTGGGAAAACAGATGCTGTAACTAGGCCACAGGATAAGCAAAGCTTTGGATGCTGACATGACAACACAGAACCCTGGCACATTGGACTAAGCAGTCCAGCTGGGAACAAGGGGCCAAGGCTGAGGCCACTGAGTCAACTGAGTCAGGAGCCACATCTCAAGGGTCTGGGACAGCTGAGGGGTCTTGGGCAGGCCTCATGGCCAGAGCTATGAAATCAGGGCATGATGCCAGCTGGTAGGCTCTGGCCCAAAGACGCTGACTCACCAGGAGCGGGGCAGCTGGAGCCAGCTACTCCTAAGGTTTCCAGGAAGGGCAGCCTTCCAGGACTCAGTCAGTGTTGACAGTGAGTGTCAGGCAACTTGAGCTACTGGGCAGCTGGGCAGCTGTCCCTTGTTCCCCAATATCATCACCATCCCAGACACTGTCCACCTGCCGCAGGTCCCACACAGGGGTACACCCACCACCAACACAACTCAAGCAGGCCAAAGCCCAGAGATAAAGGTAATAACTCAAGGTCACGCAGGGATTCAGTGTAGCTCACAAGTAGAATCCAGACCTCTGGACTCCCAATCCAGTTCTCACATTCTTCAAAGGATGCTAGTTACAGTCTGAATCTCCAGAGACCTGAGGGAAGATGACATTGAACTCTGGTGTCATGAGATGGAAAGTGTCCTGATTCCCAGATAGGCTATTCTGATCAAATAACCTGATTAGTCTAGATAAAGTGTGGTCTGATGGTGCCACCCCTTGCACCAAATATACAGCCAACTAGAAAGGTGGGTAGTTATTCCACGGAGCTTCCCCAGCTTAGACTCCTTAGGGAGGTCTTTGGGAGTTGGAAGGAAGACGGTCCAAGTGTGGTGGCCCTGGAAACCAGGAAGTCTGAGAAAGGGGTCTTCTGTGCTGGCACCTTCCCTCAGAAACCAAATCAAGTTCCACAATGTGCTGCCCTGGTCAGGTGAGGGCCAGAGCCCAGACAGAGCCTCTGTACCCAGTTCTGTCCAGGGCCAGGCCACCTCCTCCCTGGGTCCTGTGGCTCAGGTTTCAAGACCTCGACATTCAGATTTTTCGCGGCATAAATTTGCATCCAGCACAGGGGAGAGGAGGCTACTGGAAGCGTGGGGGTAAAGAATGAGTACAAGGCCAGGAGGGCCCCTGGGGTGGAGACTGGTCAGCATCTTTTTTCCCCAGTGAGAGGACATTATCCGAGGAGCCCAGATGGGGCCTCGCTGCCTGCCGCATGCCCTTGACTGCTAGGTAATTCTCCAGTCCCTGCTGGTGGCCCCTGAGAACAGGAGGTGGCCCCTGGAGGCAGGGTCCTGGTCTGGAGCCCCGAGATGCCGAGGAACCCCCAGGCGTGCCGCCCGCTCGGTTTAACGGTGCAGCGGGACTGAGCTGCTGAGCTGCGAGCAGAGCTGGGCGCCCCCTGGCACGGAGCCAGGCCGGGCGGGTGTGCGCCTGGCGCGCGACACTGCAGCGCTGGTCATATGAGCAGAAAGGATGAGAAGAACACTTTTTAATCTTTTCGCACTTGCTCTGCCCGCTCAAACAGTTGCAGGATGTCGATGACAGACTTGCTCAGCGCTGAGGACATCAAGAAGGCGATAGGAGCCTTTGCTGGTGAGCGGTGCACTCCCCTGCCTGGTCCTGTCCCCTTGCCCTCTTCCCGCGCCTGGGGCACCCCGCATCCCTCTGCCGAAGCCTCCCCGGTATCTCCCGCCCATATATCGGTCCCCATCCTCGGGGTTGGCTCCCTGGTCCTTTGTCTTCCTAGAGCTGCACTGGCTGTGCGCCCTGCCTGAGGCACACAAAGTTGAGGGTGCAGAAGGGTGGCTTCTCTGGGAGGATTCCGGGGTCCAGAGCAAAGCACGAAGACAAGGGTGGGAAAAAGGAAGCGCTAGAATTCTGGGGCAGGAACCAGACTTCTCCTCTGAGAAGTGTAGAAGGGGCTGCAAACCAGGGCTTTCTCTCCAAGAGACCCCTTTCGTCTACCTCCATTCCCAACAAGACTTTTCCCAGAAGATAGCCCATTGGTGGAGATCCCCTCTCAGGACAGACCTCAGCGCACAGCACAGTGACCTTTGCGCAGCAGGCACCCATCCCTGCCCAGCCCAGTGCAGCACCCCCTTACTACTCCCCAGCTGCCAATCCTTTTAGGTAGTCCGGGAGAAGGGGGGGCCCACTTAACTGTGTAACTTCTTTACTCTGAAGGGACTCTAGCTGAGATGCTGTTCCTTCCCCCCCCGCGCCCCCCACGTAGGGAAACTTGAAGGTGAAGGATATAGAAAGTCACCCCGTCCAGCACAGGAAGGATGAGAACTGGGGTGGCCTCAGTCAGATCTCAGTGCCCCACTTTGATATGTCAGAGTTGGATACAGCAACTTTCCTCCCCTCAAGCTCTGGGCTGAGGGGAGACCCTGGTTCCTAAGCGTCTTTTGACTGAGGGGGACACCCATCTGCCTTTTTTTTTTTCCCTCTTTCCTCCAGGCACACACAGGAAGCTCCAGGAAGTCCTCTTCCCTTCCCAGAGAACTAGAACTATGACAACCCATTCACTGTGCCTTGATTCACCTTGTCACCTTGAGAGGGAAACTTAAACTGAGCCTTTGGAAGTCCTCCATCCTCCCAACCCCCAGCCACTGGGATGGGTCTCTGAGTCTGGGCAGGACTTCTGGGTCCTCCCCTCCCCCTCCCATGATGTGACCTTGACAGAAAAGTGTTCATTTTCTGAAAACAGTACATGGCCAAGAGAGAAAGCTGCCCTTCCTTCTTACACGCCCAGGTGCAGCCCTTCTAGGTGCCACCCAAAAAGGCTTCATAGAATTAGAGGTCTCTGGAGGCTGACAGTCTCTGTGTATTTATGGGGGAGCCAAGAAGGTATGACCTTGAACAGAGCCTCTTTTCCTACCTGGGCTCCCTCTGCCCTCCTGTTCCCCACAACTGTGCAGATGTCCTTTAACCAATGCTAGAACATCCCTTTCCTGGATTTTCCCGATACCCTACTTCCTTCCTTAACCTCCTCCTCCCCCTAACAGCTGCAGACTCCTTCGACCACAAAAGGTTCTTCCAGATGGTGGGTCTGAAGAAAAAGAGCCCGGATGATGTGAAGAAGGTGTTCCATATTCTGGACAAAGACAAAAGTGGCTACATCGAGGAGGATGAGCTGGGGTAAACTGAGGCCTTGTGGGGGGGAGGGACCTGGTGCTATCTCCTCAAGTCACCATCCTTCTCTCTGTATCTGCATAGCAAGCATTACATTGCCCACCCCTAGGGCAATGTCCCAGACACCAGGGAAAGATACCTCCTGCTTCCAGGGGCGTGGGTGGGTGGTGGTCAAACACTCAGCTCAGAGCACAGCTAACTAGGTTAAATTATAGCCACTTAATATCGCTAATGGAATGGAGTTACTTAATAATTTAATACCAATGAAGAGGCACTTATTCTGGCTGCCTCCCACCACAGGCAAGACAGGAGGCATTCTCCTTAGAGTGTCATTGATTTCCATTGTCTGAAAGTCACCTTCCCCGGTCTGGTCTGCAGACCCCATGCCTCTGGACCAGAACTGCAACTTCTGGGCAAGCCAGGGAGGCATAGCCAGCTCTGGGACTTCAGGGTCCTTGGAGCAAAGCACAGAGGAGAAGACAAACCCACATTAGCAGAGAGCCCTCTGCCCTAGTCCACCTCAGCCACCTGGCCTGTATTTGATGACCCAGCTGTGCCTTCTGTTACTTTCTGACCAAGGCTGCCTTGAATTTTGTTGGAAACATAAGGAGGGAGGTGTTTAGAGATGCATTTTAAGTAGGAACTTCCTCAATCTATCCTGTATCTCCTCCAAACTTTACCCCAAGGGCACCTTCTTCTAGAACCTTCTCCTACCTGCCTATCTATGTCTGAAAAGTGCATGCATGTACAGGTACATTCTAAGTGCTCTCTAATCTCAAGGTATCACCATCTCTCTAGAGAGCCTCCTAACTCCTCTCTCACCTGGTAGGAGGCATGTGCTTCCCTCTGCCTCCTCCATCAGGGCACCCATCACTCCATCACACATGAGGTCTGTCTATGAGGACTTGCCCTCTTCCCCAGTTATGCAGGTGACTTATGACAATCAGTATGGCGATTTTATATATTTATTGAATAAACAAAGACAAGTGTTCCCTAAACTTGGGTCAGTCCTGCACAGAGAGCAGTCATCCACCACACACTGACCCACCAAGGGTCAGACCAGGCCAGCTGGCCACCCTAACTGTGCATGTGCCCACACACACCCCCACTGCCTATCACAGCTTCCCCTGCCCTGCACAGATTCCAGCCCACCATCCAGTGAGGTTCTGCAAGGTGACTTTGCCTGAGTCCCTCCCATTTTCTGCCTTTTCTCCTCCAGGTCCATTCTGAAGGGCTTCTCCCCAGATGCCAGAGACCTGTCTGCTAAAGAAACAAAGACACTGATGGCTGCTGGAGACAAGGATGGGGATGGCAAGATTGGGGTTGAAGGTGGGTAGCCATGACCATGACTCTGGGAACACTGGGACTCTGGGGTGTGTGGCTGTTAAAGTTTTGGTCTGAAGAAAGGAAGAGGAGATGAGAAAAAAACCCAGGTCAGAGCAGAGAGCTCCACTGCCAAGCAGAGAAACCTCTCTCTCTCTCTCTCTCTCTCTCTCTCTCTCTCTCTCTCTCTCTCTCTCGACATATAGATATATAGATATATGAGCAACCCATGAGAAGTGACTTTTCCCCCTTTTCCTGCTGTGTGAAGGAATTGTGGGAGGGAGAATTGGAGATTTTCCCTGCTTTTTTTGGCCTAAGTTCTGATCCAGGATCTGCCTACATTGTCTGTGTGACCTTGGGCAGTGTCTGTCCTTCTCTGAACCCAAGGCTCATGTCTGTAACCAGAGGAGATAGGCCCATGATCTCCCGAGGACCCTCAGGCTCTTGTAGTATCCAATTCCAAGGATGGAAATTCCTTATCTACTGCCCTCCCAGCATCTCATCCCGGTGTCCTGTAACCTCAGACAGGTTTTTGGCTTCATTCAAATACACCATCCCATCATGGTAGGAGAGCCAGGGAAGAACAGTCAGCCAGAATCCAGATGGGAGTTAGGATGCACGCAAGGCTTCAGCAGCTTTGTTCAGAGCCCGGGCACAGCCAGGTGGCCCACTACCCCACATCCTTATTCAGTCAACCTGCCTGGCATCTGTGGGGCACATCCCAGAACTGTCAGCCCTCTTATGACACTTTGTAGGTGGCCAAAAGGATGCTCACAGTCCTAGCCTGGCTCAGAGAGCTTGGATGCAGGGTGTGGCAGGGATTTCAGATCTAGTCTGAATGTGGCTGAGCAACATGCTCTGCCACCATTGGCTTGTGTGGCAGCCTTTTAGGCAGACATCAAAGAAAGCCACATTTAAGCACCTCTGGGATTCAGACCCCAGCCTCTCTAGGGGAGTCGTATTAACTATTTTGGGCCTCAGAGTTTTCATCAAGAGGGAGTGATGGTTCTTCTCTCATGGAGTAACCCATGAGGACGTGGTTGCTAGTGTGTAGAGTGCTCAGGCCAGGAGCAGCCATGGGGCAGAGAGCAAGCGCCTTTTGTGTGCCATTAACTAAAGAAAAGGGAAATGTGGACTAGTGTCCACTCCAGAAATGAATGAGGTACCTAGTAAATATCTGTTGCCTGAGGGGATGTCCAGACCCCCACACCCCTCTTCCCTTCTGCTCCTCACCACCGTGACCTTAGGCACACCCTCTGCCTATACCTGGGTTCTCTTGTCTGGCACATGGGGTGCATGAGCTTATGCTAGGACCTGTTAAGTGGTGTGGACACAAATTGCTCTGGGGAAAGTACTAGATTCTACAAGTATATGGGAAATTATTAAAGAATTTTTAGTGAAAGCAAGAATGAAGAATCTTTACTGAGTTCGGGTACAGGGCCATAGGACCCTGATGTTCTTCTTTCTGATGGCAGGAAGGGGGGCTGAGCAGAGAGTGTGAGAGAGATGCCTACTGGCTTGACAGCTCTTACTGATTCTGACAACAGCTACAACCCCTTCTCACCAACTCCACTCCGGGCCCTGGCGTCTACTGCAATTCAACTTGCCCTCCATTTTTTGAGATGCAGCCCACAGCCAGAGGCAAGGTCTTCAAGTTGGCTGCTCCCAGCCAACCTAAATGAGGAAGAAAACCAGGGCAGCCCTTGACTTGGTTCCCTCCTCCTGCCCCTGCTGTCTGCCATACCTGGTCTTAAAGAGCAAACTAAACTCTTCCAAAAGACCCATTGGCAGCTCCCAAGGAGAAATGTGATGCCTAGCATCAAATGAAATAAAGATAATTAGGACAAAGGTCCTGATGAGGAGCCCTTGAGCAAAAGCCCTGTAATCCCAAGCCACAGCTTCATGGATAAAACTGTACCTATGAAAACATGGGGCGTATTGAAGGCAGCACCCAACACTTAGTAAGTACCCAGGACCCAATGAATGGCAGCCACGAACCATCCACATTAGCTACATTCTGAGTATGGCCTTTCATACACACACACACACACACACACACACACAAACACACACCCACACACACACACACACACACACACACGTGCACACACACAAATGGTCACACAGGCTGAGTTTGTCTTAATTGAAAAGCTCAGGGGCAGAGGTGTATTGTTTTCCAGACATGTTTGAATTTTTGGAGTACTTAGAGTAACCATGACCCTGAAAGGGTTTCAGATTTCCAAAATCCGGGGTTAGAGACATTGGTCTGTGCCAGGCAGAGTGGAGGTGCAGGCAGCTGAGACTTGGAGGCCAAGATACTGGAATGCTACAGGTTGGGAATCAGCAAGTCGGGGCAGGTCCAGGCATGGCAATGGCATCAGCAAAGACACTGAGGCAGGAATGGTTAGGACAGATTTAGAAACAATCCAGAAAACTGGTTTGCCAGGAGCGAGCAAGAACTACTCATCGTGTCTCAGGCTGGAGCTGGGCTCTGTGGTGTTATCTCATTTTCCTGGGATGACAGAGGACATACATGCCGAAAAGGCAGTTCAGGGGGCCAAAGTCACGCTATGTTCAGGATTCAGGTTTCAACCCCAGTCTATCTGACAGCACAATGGAGGCCTGAACTAAGCTGTGCAGCCCACACAGCACTCCAGGGTCCAGGAGGAGCACAGAGCAGGGACAAAATATGAGATTAAGGTGGCACTGAGGGCCTTACTCTGCTTCCCTAGTGAAGATGCAGATGCCCCACCTCCTTGTATAACCCAACTTGAGAAGTAGGATTGGTGATGCCACACAAGAGTGGCATGAGAGAGGCTCTACGCCTTTCTCTGGGGCCCAGAATGTTCTGTGACCAGAGTCTTGAGCTCCACCTACCAGCCTGAGGTTGCTTCAACTTCTGTGGGACCCAGGCAAGTCACAGTGTCCCCCTGACCTTTAGGACCAAGGCTAGATCCGCATCCTGTCTCTGGGGCTCCTTTTACTGCATGAAAGACCATGAATCACAACTTAGACTCTGAACCACAGTAGCAGTCACTTTTAGCTTCGCACAGCCCTTCCTGTGTGCCAGGCACTGTCCTCCACCACCTTCTTATCTATCTGTAAAGTGGGTAACTGTTACATTCCCATGTTCGTGGCAGGGCTAGTGAGGCTCAGAGGCAAGGGTTTGTTTAAACCTTTGTGCCTAGGAAGGGAGAGATGGTCAAGATGAGTGTTGAGCTCTGTTTGCTTGCAGCATGTGCATTGTGCTGCTTGCTTCTGGCCTAGAATGCAGTTGAAGTTTAGTGAACACCCAGCATAAGATGATATTAGATGCTGACTTCACGGCTTGCTTCTCTCCACCACACTTGGATGTCCCTAAAGCAGGGACTTTGCCTTCTTCTGTTCTCACCCCCAGCACCAAAAATAGGGTCTGGCGCACAGTGGGCGAGAACAGAGAAGTTTGCTTAGTGAGTGGATAAGGGAAGGAAGAAAGGACCGAACCCAAGGATGAATGAGTGAAGGAATGAACAAGTCAGCCAGTGAGGAAATGCGAGGGCATATGAAAACGAATCCCACAAGGCTTCAGGAAGGAGCAGGTCTAACCCCAGCATGTAGAGAGGGGATCTGCATGCATACAAACTGGGGGCTTGTAGCCACAGGTACTCTGGGAATACAGAGCCAGAAGTGGCCTCTGTTCAGGCTCTGCTTGTCTCTCTGAGGGGAATGATGTTTTACATGGTTCTTTAGGCACCCAATTGTAGGAAAGGAGAAGGAAGACACAGTTACAGCCTCGCTCTTTCAGACTCTAGTATCTGGGGCAGCTGCTTCCAGGAAGTTTAAGACATTTATAGATGTGATCGATCGCCAACGGCCACCATGAAAAGCTGGGATCAGCCGGGAAAAAGGGAAGTAGAAAAGGATAGCAAGGCCAAAAAGAAGGGGGAAGGGCCCCACAGTCCAGCTGTGGCCAAAGACACAGAGGCACGTGAGGCAGGATCTCCTCCATTTCCCAGGCATAAATCTCAGGCTGGAGTTGGTCTCTCTGGTTCCCACCCAGAAATGTTTGCATCCTGAGTGGGACCCAAGTACCCACAGTTCTAACAAGTTATATAGTGATGCTGATGGTCCAGGGAATTGCAAAGAACTGGGGCTTTTCAGTAACTCTGGAAGACAAGGGCTGTTGCTCCCCTCCTTTACACTTGAAACCCTGAAGCTTAAGAGGTGATATAGTACAGAGTCCCTCACAAGGGCTGAGCTTAGAGGTCCTACCTATCTCACTACAGCGAGTGTCCCCAGCCTGGCTTTCCACATTCAATGTACAAAGAACACAGAGAAGACAGACTGAGGTCAGCAGCCACCCCACAACCTATGTGGCAGGGCACTATAGCCAGGTCTTCCCAATCTAGCTCGCTCAGCCCTCACAGAGCCTCCCAGCACAGCCTAACTTTGTTCTCTACACAGACCTGAGCCTCAGAACGCATAGAGGCTTGATTGGCTGTGAAGGCAAGCAAGCACACTTCTCTTGCCTGCCGTCTTAGATTGATCTGCACACCATATGCCTGTATGTGTGTGTGCTCTGTTGAACGTCATTCCCCCTTGTGACCTGGACCTAGTGTTGGCTCTGTCTGCCTGCTCTTTGTACCAATTGCCAGTCAAGCGCCTATCTGTGTGCTGTGTTTTGCTCCTTCGGTTGAAAACATAGCTTTTATAATCGCAGAAATGGAGCCTTTCTGTTTCCTTCTGACAATATCCTTAGCAGACTACTTGAGGATGGGGGTAGTGATGATTAGGTATCATGGGTAACAAGAACCAGAGCCTTCCTGTGCATCGACACCCATCCTGAAAACATCCTGGCTTTCCCACCTTTTGGGCAACCATCCCCTCATCCATGAAGTTGGTATAAAATGCACACCCCTCGGCCTTCTTGCTTTGGTTTTGACGCCACCCTGCTCCAAATCCTAATCCACACAGAAATGGAACTGGGTATTAGACTAGAAGGCAGGGAGGACAGGAGACCTCTGCCTCACTGTGATTCCCATCTGTCTGCCCTGTGGGACTTGATTCGGGGGTGCCCGTGAGGGCCAGTGGACAGTGGACAGTGTCTGGTTATAACCCACTGCAACTCACAGAAGCCCCAGGAGGTCTAGGAGACAAGGGCCACATCCTCACTGATAGCTGCAGAAACTGAGGCTCCATGAAGGCTGAGGGCCAGATCACAGGGCATGATGCATGCCCTTGGAGGGATGTGACCTGGGTTTCCTTTCCACAGGCTTCCTCCTCAAAGCCAAGCTGGGTCTTCGGAGTTATAAATGTTTCCATGCTTAGCAATCTGCTCCTCTATTCCCGGGTGGACTTCTGCTAGTTCTGGCCTTATGCTGCACTAGATAAGATGGGGCAAGGAGAGGATGCAGTGCTACTTATATAACCGGCCTCTTGAAAAATGGAGCAGCAGTCAGGGAGGAACAAGATGTCCTCTCTCCGCTCATCCCTCTCCTGCCACTGCTGAGGCTACAGCCAGAGTCAGATGCAGGTCCCTTCCGATCAGTTTTTGGGAAGAGACACAGCCAGGCCCAGCCAGGCTCAGTTAGCATCCTCCAGCTGGGACCCAGCCTCAGTTTCCCCATAAATAACATGAAGATCAGTGAGGCCAAAATGGGATAAGGTAGCTGGCAGTTCCCAGGACTGTTGATGCCACCTCCTTGTGGCTGCCTGGCTTGACCCCGAGTGACCCCGCCTCCTCATTCTGCAGCTGCAGCAGGAGAAAATGATCCTGTTTGCCGAACCTATCTGTAAGAAACCGAGCCCTGGAGCTATTTCGAGGCGAGGTGAGGTGATGAGCCAGGAGCCCGCCCTTGCTATGGTCATCAGAAGAGAGGGAAGGCAGGCCTTCCAGACGCTGACTCCATGAGTCTCAACTTCACTCGGGGCTGTCAGCCTTCCCTGGGCTCACCTGTCAAGAGATTCTAAATTTGTCCGATCCCCACAGCACCCAGGGCTGGGGCGGCCCTAATTAGGCTAATTTCAGTTTCCTAAGGGAAAGAGCAGAATGGTCAGCCCTCTGCCTGCGCCTTCCCTCCTGCCACATTCCCTTGTGCCTCCCTCTCTTTCTGATTGGACAAGAAAGACATCAGAAAGTGTCCTCAGAGAGGCTGGGGGTGGGTTTCAGACCATAGAGTAGTGCTGTTCCTGAATATCTTACAAGAGAAAAAAAAACTGTCCCTTGTACTTCATCAGGTACTAATTATTTGTACTCATTCTGTGTACCAGGTGCCTCTCACCTGCATCTCAAGCAGTCTTTCTTGTGATCTTAGGGATGCCCCCACTTTACAGATGAGGTTATTGAGGTGGGAATCATGTCAGGAGCTGTTTGGGTCTCCTGGGTACCCTGCTTTCATCATACTTGACCTTGGTTTGGGGAATTGCTGTAGGGGGTAGTTACTCCACAGCTCCCTTACCAGGTGGACTGCGACCTCCTCCTGTGTACCCAGTTTGCTCATGAACTTCCTTGTTGCTTTTCAGGAAAGTTGTGTGAACTGGCGTCATTCCCACTTCACAAAGCAGAACACTGAGATTCAGAGAGGCAGCATGGTGGCCCATGGCCACCTAGTCGGTAATAATGGAACAAGACACAGGTCCAGGTCCAGGGTGGCTACAAGGTCATGGGCAGATGCCTTGATGGAGACAGATGATAAAGACCTACAGTTGCAACAGGAGTGACAGTGACAGATGGAGATGACAGGGTCCATTCACTGCACCAGGTAGCAATCAGGCATTTGTGGGTTGGTCCAAGTGGCTTGAGGTATAGAAGCGGCATGATGACAGCAGCTGCCAAGAGCTAAGCACTTTCTCGGGAGCAGGCCTCAGGAGGGGGACCGTGGTGCTGGCTGGACTGACAGCCCCAAGAAACAGCTAGTCTCATAGGCCCCACTTTGAAGATGAGGAAACAGAGGCAAGAGTGTCTAGTCAAACCCACAAGGAAAGGAACTACTGCTCCTCCTCCCTCTGACAGCTCCAAATGCCAAGTTAGAACATTTTCTAAATGTTCTGAAAATGTCCCTGAACATTTAGGACATTTTTCAGCTGGGATTGGAGGGGTCAGACATCTGGTCCAGGGAACCCAGAGAACTGTGGAGGCTCCCTGCCCCGCCTTCCCACACCCAGTTCACATCTGAGACCCTTCCACCAAATCTGTCAACCTAGACGTTCCAAAGTCTGTGTATTTGTCATTTGCTTCTCTTTGGGGTGAGAGGAGACGTTTTAGAGGAGACCTTTGCCAGGAAAGCTGTTAGTTAATTGGCAGTTCCTAAGAACGCTGCCCTGGGGAAGACACAAGAGTCCTGAAGAGGTACAGTGACCCTGCTTTATTTGTCTACAGTGCCCTGGTCAGGGTTCTGGGGGAGATAAAATTAGAATCCTGTGTTCCCTGCAAAAAGCCAGGCTCAGTGGCCTTAAGGACATACAGCCTAGCTAACTCACAGAAGACCCTGTGGTCTTCCGTCTAAGACCCTGGGCTTTTAGAAACCTCTCACAGGTCCAAAACATGCTACCAGGTTCTCAAAAGCAGAGTTCCACTCTGGGGGCCCTCACTAATGGTCTATCACACCCCATCCTGTGTAGACTGTACCCAGTCCTGTGCAGATCGCATCTGATCCCAGCTTGTGGCTGGAGGTGAGTCGTCTTGCTGAGGAGCAGTCAGGAGCTCATAAACCCTGGTGTGATTATAAAGCCCAGGTCCCTCAGATAGCCCTGTATGAACAATACGGGGGATTTTGTCATTACAGGATCTGGGTCACTGGCCTGGTCAGTAGAGCCTACACATGAACTTTACAAGGCCAGAGGACAAATTATAGCCGTGTCACTTCCTTTCTTTCCGACCCTGACTGCTTCAGTGCCCATTTTCCCATCTGTAAAATGGGAGTCACATGTGTACCTCGCAGGGCTTGCTGAACCCTAAAGAGAACTCATAAGCAATGAGTTCAGCATTCAGTTATTCTCATCTGCAGGGTACTAGACAAGACTAGTCACAGGGAAAGGAGTGAATCAGGGAGACAGTGGGGGAGATAGACAAATTTCCTAGTGTGCTAAGACCCTGAAGTCAATAAACATGGGCTAATGTGACAGAGCCAGCAGTGGGGATATTTGAGCTGGGATACGTGTCACTCTATACTTAGGTTAAAGGAGGTCACAAATCTTCCCAGTAAAGAAGGAATCTGAGAGTGACTGTGGTCGGGATCCCATCTGCTGCCGTGACCATGTTAGAGCTAAACCCTAGGGCCTCGGTTTCCCCACAAGTAAAATGCAGGCAAAAAAGTGTCTATCTGTGGTAATTCTAAGAATCCTATGAGAGAATGCTTGCTGGATTCTTCCCCTGTAGACATTTGATGAATGCCTCACAGATTCTCACAGATACTCAACGTGGACACCACACAGTGTTAATGAGAGTTCTAACAATAAGATAAAGACAGCTCACAACTACCTCCTCCCCCAGCCCTGATCCTTCAGATTCACCCGGCCCTTGGCTGAGAAGAGAAGTGATTGATATCTGACCTGGGAGAAATTCTTTGAGTGTTCAGTGTTTATTTACTTGAGTTCCCATCAGTGCCTCTCATCACTCAACCCAAGAGTCTTTTGAGGCTTCAAGAACTTCACCTGCATGGACTCTCAATGTCTCCCACCTTGAGTCGCAGTGCAGAATGTCACTTCTAGGGACATTGCCTTAGGGACAGGAGGGTGCAGCTTCTGTTTTTCAGGTCAAACCTCAGAAAAGGGTCCCCTCACAGAGTCTGATCCAGGGCAGCTGCACGGGATTGCTGATGTAGCTGTCATCAGTTTGAATTTTTAAAATGTTATTTATATTTGCAGAATGTGACAGTAGCAGGAAAAGTCCCTTTGCCCTCTGCCAACTTCTCTGGGGTTTACACTTATATAACCTTAGTACAGGGGTGACAAGTCAAGAATGACGTACATAGATGTCCTGTAGAGACTGGGCAGACACAGCGGACTTCAGGGGGCTCCCAGGATCCTCTGGTGGCCTTTGGAAGCTGCTTCACACTTCACATCTATCGCTTATTCCCCTCAGGGAATTGGTCCTGCCTCCCTCCATGGATGCAGAAGGGACAGAAGCATACTAGGACTTTTTCCAGGAAGGGTCTAAACCTCTCACCCTATTCTCATGTCACAATGCTGCATTTTCTAGGGGTGATAGGAATTGGCAGACCAGAATCCCACGGGGTTCTCAGAGACAATGAATGGCAAATTCCACTATTCTGATTTCTTGTGTCAAACAGCAGAATTGTGCAAAGAAGCTGCTGGGCTGGGAACCTCCATTTCCTCACCTGCAGATTAGGCATCATGATAAACAATAAGGTTGCTGTGGGAGCCAAAGAAGATACTGTACACGAAGTGTTGAAACAGCTGGAGCGCGGCAGACATGAACAATCACAGGTGGTAACAGTGTTGCTTTTCTTTTGCAGAGTTCTCCTCTCTGGTGGCTGAAAGCTAAGTGGCGCTGACTGCCTGGGTCTCCCACCTCTCCACCCCCAATGCCCCATCTCAGCTCTTCTTGTGGCCCTCCTGAGTTTCTGTTCAGTTTGTTTATGGTATTTTTTACTCCCCCCATCCTCTATGGCCCCTGAATGACACCATTATTCTGGAAAATGCTGGAGAAACAATAAAGGCTGTACCAATCATATACTGCCTGTACGGAGGACCCAGGCCTGCTAGGGTGTTGGCTTGGCACATTTTTCAAGGGCAGTGTGGATAGGCTGGGAAAGGTGTGGTGGATGGAAGGGCTGTGTCCTGACATTTCCTCCCTGTTGGAAACTGAGTTTTCAAGTGGGCCACCTTGTTCAATCCTTGCACCTATCCCACAAGGGAGGTGATGGAACTTTCATCTTGAAGACACAGAAACCATTTTAAAGATGGGAAGTGAAGCATTTGAGTCCACACATGATTATTCTATGTACCTTTAGGAATCACTGGATAACAGGGCTCCATTGCATTCTATTAATTGCTTTTGACTCTGCTGTGGTGAAAACCTGGTAAGAGCGACTTAAGGAGACGACAGTTTATTTTGGCTCACTCCAAGGGTGCAGTCTGTCACGATGGGGAAGTGAAGGAGGCAGGAATATGTATCAGGTCACACTGAATGACATCATCATATCCACAAGTCAGGAATCAGGAAGAGACGAATGCTGGTGGTACCCAACTGGCTTCCTCCTTTTTTATCCAGCCTGGGAGTCCAGCCCACTGGGTGATGTTATCCACATTGGGTCTTCCTCCTTCAGGCTAATCTACAAACTTCCTTATGAGCACACCCGTACATTTACTTACTAGAGCAGTGGTTCTCAACCTTCCTAATGTTGTGACCCTTTAATACAGTTCCTCACGCTGTGATAACACAAACCATAAAATTTTTGTTGCTACTTTGTAACTGTAATTTTGCTACTGTTATGAATCATCATGTAAATATCTGTGTTTTCCAATGGTCTTAGGTGACCCCTGTAAAAGGGTCCTTCAACCCCTAAAGGGGTCATGACCCACAGGTTGAGAACTGCTGTCCTAGATGATTCTAGGTCCCACCAAGTTGACAAGCTGAACCATCACATATACCAACAAAAGCGAGCCCTTCATTGCTTATGTCTAAGAACTGCCTCCTCCCTGATGAAATAGTGGCCAGGTCAGGCCCTCCTCTGGTGCTGGCAGAACTCCCCATCATCTCAAAGCATTCACACAGAAAGAACAGCAGAAATGGGCTCCTCCTTGCCCGTCACTCACCCAAAGGCCCAGATTCAGCTGCTCAGGCAGTCTCACTAATTTTTCAGGAGTATGTGTTTGCAGAGACCCTTGCAGGATACCATTTGCAGCAGCCCTGCAAGCTGTGCCCTGTCACAACACCCCTGGATAGTTGGGAGGAGTGAGAGCCAGGGAAGGCCAGTGTTTAGCCTCCCCAAGGTACCCCCAGATCCTGTGCCCCTCTATGAACATTTCCCAGTGGACAGAAGGGTCCTAATCAGGCCACTTGTGGTCAGATGCATCCTCAGAAATGAGGTTCAGCCACTCAGCTCTTTATTGTCAGAGAGAAGGGGAGAATCTCTTTGGAAATCTGAAGCTAGTGTAGAGAGAGGCTGAGCAGGCAGACACAGAAACACAGCAGCCCTGAACAATGGCAAGTGGCCCTTTAAATGTCCTGTGCAGGAGGAAGGGCTAGAATTTCTTCCCCTATGCTCTGAGGGATGAGGGTGAGCAGGCTGCAGAGTGGCACCCAGGTAGAGCAAGCAGAACAAGGCCTGGGAGAAGACCCAAAGCCACCCTGTGCTGATGTGCCCAGGCCCAGTCCTGCTTCAATGGCCAGCACGTGAACCAGAGCAGAATGAATGAGAGTGAGCGCTGGACAGCCGAGTGTGGGTCAGTGAATGTGAGTGCATAGGCACACATGCCAATAGAGGGGACAATGTCAGGGCCAGAGCGGACCCAGATGTCCGTGTAGTTCTCAACCTTCAACCCTAAGGTAGAAGTAAGGGTGAAAACCAGAGACCATCCTGTTCTAGACCGCAAGGAATGCAGGGAACTTCCAACAAGGATGCTGTCTCACCAAAGCTGTGCCCTTGTCATTGTTGTAAGTTGGGGTTGACATTTTTATATGCTGCCACCTCTGCTGTGTGGAGGTGGGCTGGATCCTTCCAGGCTCTGAGAGATATTGGTGGGACTCTCATAGTCACTGGACCACTGCAGTGGCCTAGCTTGTCCCTTTCCTTTTCTCTCCTTCCCCTACAGTTGCACAGTTGGAGAAGAGGGCGTTTTCCAGAATGCAGATCAGGTCACAGTGTTTAGCTAGAAATTGAGGGATTGCTTGATCTGTTGAAGAAACTGCAGCTCTGGGCACAGCTTCTGGCCACTGGGTGTCCCAGGCTCCCTATACCTGTCTCCCTCAGCAGGGGTTCCCCCTGCCTCTTCAGTTGTCTAGATGGCACTCACCCGCCTCTTTAGTTAGTCTAGATGGCACCCTCTTGGCTCTTCACTTACTCTAGATGGTACCCTCCTGGCTCTTCAGTTAGGCTAGATGGCACCTCATTTCACTTTCACTCCTGTTGGTACCACTCCCCAGCCCCCTGTGCTGACTCAAAACAACCACCCTGACTGTTTCTCCAGCCGGAGTCAGAATCCAGACTGTCCCCTGCAAATGAAATGGGGATAGGAGAGTATGTCCCATCCCTTCCTCGAAAAGGCCATGCGATCTTCACAGGCAGGAAATGCCCGTCTGTTCCCCAGTAGAACCCAGGACTAACCCTGTTAAGATGCTGGGAGCCATCCATTGGGGTATGGGGGTGGCCCGGGGGTCCAATGAGCTCTGTGACCAAGTCAATCAGAGGAGGTTGAGGGCTGGCCTAGTATCATATTCAGCATCACATGCACACAGTTTAAAAAGTAAAGGCAGACAGACGTTCAGTGAAGGCCAGGGAGTTGGCCTCAAGCCTCTTGCTGCCTTTCTCCCACAGGGCCTCATCCGCAGAGATCTACTAACTCAGCGAGGAAAGGGGTCTGAAGATGGAACCTCACCACTTAGAATACTCCTCCGCAGAACCTGTCACTGGGCTCTGAGGTCCCCCAGTCACCTGGCTAGGACACCTCTATCACCACCATTTGCACTCTCTAGGGCCTGATTTCCTTTTCCTAAACTCAGGGGAGCCTCCTGGTCCCCTCCGCCCATTTCCATCAATACTGAGCTGGGAGCAGGGAGGAATGGAGTTAGACTGGGAGGAAACACAAGCCAAGTGGCTTTTGCAGTATCGCACCACACATGGGTAATAAGGAGTGATTCAAGCACCCTGGTCCACAGTGTCCCAGGACTGGAGGCAGTTAGTAGGGACAAAGGAAGAGCAGAGCTGGACAAGGAGGGCTGGCAGAGTTGGCCGGGCTCTCCCGCACCATAGGCTCGGAGATGCGGCTGTGGGGATGGAGAGGTTGACTTCCAGACTTGCCTCTCCTTCACACACCCACCACGTCTCAAGAGGCTCTGTGTGGCCATCTATCATGATCTGAATGCCACATCCCTCCAGAGTTTCTGCGGAAATCTAATCAGCAGCTCAGATTAAGAGATGGGGCCCTGGGAGCTTTGCCTTATAAATAGGCTCAAAGGATAGAGGCTGGGGAGGTGGTTGTTGATAAAATACTCAGTGTGCAAGCATGAGGACCTGAGTTTGGGTCCTAGAAGCTATATAAAAATGTCAGGTGTAGTGTCCTGCCTGTAATTCCAGCACTGTAGATGCAGACTCGGGAGGATCTATGGGGCTGGTTCATTGGCAATTCAGAAGCCAAATGATCTCCAGGTTCAGTCAGAGACTATCCCAAAAACTAAGAAAGAGAAGGGCTGGAGCGATGGCTCAGTTGTTAAGGGCACTAGTTCCTCTTCCAGAGGACCCAGGTTGGATTCCCAGCACATACACTGTGGCACACAATCGCCTATAACTCCAGATCCAGGAGATCTGATGACTTCTTCTGGCCACTGTGGGCACCAGGCATGCAAGTAGTGCATAGATATATACATGCAGGTGAAACACCCAAACACATAAAATAAAATAATAAGCAATAAGAAGACACAGAGAGTTTATTTCTGGCTACTCCATCACACATTCACACACATACACATGTACCTAGGCAATACATGTACACAGGAGACCAAATACACAACATAGCATAACAAAACAGGGTTGGCAAGATACACCAGTGGCTAAGGGTGCTTGCTGTTAAGGCAAATAACCTGAGTTTGATCCCCAGGACCCACATGGTGAAATGAGAGAACTGACTCTCCCCACACATAAATAGATAAATAGATAAATGCAAAATCAAACTTAAGAGATGTCTAAGAGCCTGTTTGTCCCTTCTCCACATGGAAGAGGCCTTGAGCATGAAGCAGAGACCTCAGCTGACTCCCAGTCTGCCAGAATCCTGACCTTGAATCTCCAGCCTTGAGGACAGTGAGCATCCCATCTCTGCCATGCACAAGCTGCCAAGTGTAAAGTGTTTGCTAAAGCAGCTGAGATGGACCAAGACGTCACTTCTCAACCCATGCCACACACGCCCAAGGGCGAGTCTATTTTTCACATGAGAAAAGGAGGGTTCTGGGAAGTTGGGTAACTTCCCCAAACCACACAGCTAATACAACTGAAAATAGCAAAGCTTTTTTTTTTTTTCATTCAACCACTGAACAGAAAAACACAGCAAAGAACGACCCGGATGGAGATGTTTTTTTTTTTCTTTCAACCACTGAACAGAAAAACACAGCAAAGAACGACCCGGATGGAGATGACATTTTGCTTGAGGGCAGCACTGTCCTGGGAGCACACAGCTACAGTAGGGTGGGTATGTTCTCACAGGGTGAGGCTAGGGGGCACTTTTAAAGTCCAAAGTGAGGAGAATCACACAAAATCTTCTGAAACAGTAACCATTGGCCACTGTGATTACAAATGGGGGCAATGTCAGGTTGAGGGTGAAGACAGATAT